TGCTTCATAGCGAAAGAGTAGAGTATAAGAATTTGTTAGTGTTTCTTAAGGAAAACAATGTGTCTGAAATGATAGTGTACAGTACAGGAAATATAACTGTTACTGAGCTATAATGTGGACTTGGTTCTACCATATCTCTATTTTCACTATTTTGTGTGTCTGTGTATGCATGTACTCCAGAGTCTAATTTTGATTTAATTTCCAAAAATGTATGCATTGCTTTAACAATACATGTAATGTGTCATATTACAGATGGGGTCACAGTGGTTATAAAGAGTTATACCCTGAAGAATTTGAAACAGACAGGTAAGGAAAATAGGCTTAATAAAAGAAACTAAGATGGTACAAAATCTGTACTAGAAATTGATTTCCTAACTTTTACAAAGAATATACTTCCCATTGAAAATGTAGCTAGAGGGGCCGGGCGCGGTGGCTCACGCCTGTAATCACAGCACTTTGGGAGGCTGAGGCGGGTGGATCATGAGGTCAAGAGATGGAGACTATCCTGGTCAACATGGTAAAACCCTGTCTCTACTAAAAATACAAAAAATTAGCTGGGCATGGTGGCGCGTGCCTGTAATCCCAGCTACTCAGGAGGCTGAGGCAGGAGAATTGCCTGAACCCAGGAGGCGGAGGTTGCCCGAGATTGAGCCATTGCACTCCAGCCTGGGTAACAAAAGTGAAACTCCATCTCAAAAAAAAAAAAAAGGAAAGAAAATGTAGCTAGAGAAACAATAGGTGATTTAATTAGGATATGATCCCTGTTTTGCCATTCTCTGGTTGATGTTTGGCATGTCTGTAAGCATTTTGATTTTTATATATAGTATTCCATACAGTAACTCAGTATGGCAGCTTAGAATTTTTATCTCCATTTTAAAGATGAGGAAACAAAAACTCAATCAGAATATTAAAGTGTTAAAGTATATGTTAAAGTGCTGATTTAAAATTCAGATGTTGGCCGGGCACAGTGGCTCACCCCTATAATCCCAGCACTTTGGGAGGCCGAGGCGGGTGGATCACGAGGTTAAGAGATCGAGACCATCCTGGTCAACATGGTGAAACCCCGTCTCTACTAAAAATACAAAAATTAGCTGGGCATAATGGCGCCCGCCTGTAGTCCCAGCTACTCGGGAGGCTGAGGCAGGAGAATTGCTTGAACCCAGGAGGCAGAGGTTGCGGTGAGCCAAGATCGTGCCATTGCACTCCAGCCTGGGTAACAAGAGCGAAACTCCGTCTCAAAAAAAAAAAAAATTCAGATGTTAACTTCAATTTTTATCTAGAATGCAAAATATTAAAATATGTATTTTCTTTTTTATATAAAAGCTTCTCTTTTTTACTTTTTTATTAGTAGTGATCAGCAAGATATTACCAATGGGGAAAAAACATCTCCCCAGGTAAAATCATCTACCCATGAGTCCCGCAAACACAAGAAGTCAAAGAAATCCCACAAAAAAAAGCAGAAAAAAAGGTCACACAAAAAACAGAAGAAAAGCAAAAAGGAAGCCATGGATATAACAGCAGATTCCTCGAGTGAGCTCTCAGAAGAAACTGGGGCTTCCAGTACAAGGCAAAAGAAACAACCGCATAAGCGCAAGAAAAAATCCAGGAAAAAGTCTCTCAAGAAACCTGCTTTATTCTTAGAGGCAGAAAGTAACACTTCCCATTCAGATGATTCAGCATCCAGCAGTTCTGAGGAAAGTGAGGAAAGAGACACTAAAAGAACCAAAAGGAAAAAGAGAGAGAAAAAAGTCCATAGCCCTGTAGCCAACAATGAAATACAAGAGAGGACAAACAAACGCACAAATTGGAAAGTGGCTACAGATGAAAGGTCTGCTGAGAGCTCAGAGGATGACTAAATGGGAAACATTTTTGTTTTCCACATGACTGTGGATATTTACAGTTCTTACTCCTTGTGGTTTTGCAGGTGACTCTTGTTCAGCACGGGGGCCAGAGGTCAGAGCTGTCTTGTGCCATCTGTATGTTCCGACAGACTTCTTGTCTTCTAGTCCGGCGTTAAGCTTGATCCCCTTTTCTTGTTAAAAGGGCATCTGGTATTTTGTTATGAAGGTTTCTTGAAGAGATTATTTTTTGCAGTTAATCACATTTAGTATAGCACACATATACAGCAAATTAAAGGACCCAGAAAGCTGGATCCAGTGGTAACCTGGGTACACCAATTGGAATATTGAATTTGGGGAAGTCAAGGGCTGGGATCAAGAGGTGGATTGGAACTAATGCTGTGTAGGATGGTATGACAAGGCAACACTATATTGCTCTTTGTTTATATAGCAGGTATCACAACTGACTTGTCTTTAGCCTTGGTGCTTCGATCCTTCTGTATTTTGACCCTACAGGTATGGTCCAGTTTACTTAATCAGGAAATGGGCCTAAGAACAAACGTTTTCCTTTCATGGTAACATCCGTAGACAACTTACTAGAAGAGACTACAGTTTCCTCAAATTTCCCTGCTGGACGGGGCCTACAGCTGTACTTAGTATACCCCTAAACATTGTAATTGGATAGTAAATGGTTTTCTAGCTCCATTGCTGTATATTTGCCTAAATGGACTTGTGTTCAAATTATTTCTTCAGTTGTCACAGATAAATCCTTTACCAAATGGGGAAGAAATAGGAAATAGTCATGTTGTCTAATGGTACTCTGGATTCAGGGCAGCAACTGCCATTTAAACATTATCTTATTAATGAACTTTAGGTTTTCCCTGAAACTAAGTTGAATTATTTCCAAAATGAAACAGGCTTCTCAGGGACATACCCACTTCTTCCCAGTCTGCCTTTGGATTAAAGCACCAAGCAGAGACCACGTTATTTCCCTTTGCTATACTGTGATACTTAGTATGTTAATTCTTAAGAAGCCAAAATGTCACTGAAAGAAGGCTCGCAGAACACAAGTGCATTTTTTCACTATGGGAAGAAAGATCAAGTGACATGTTATTTTTTCCTGATTGTCACTTAATGGGCCGAGTAAAAAGCTTGAAAACTCAGACTTTTGATTTTGGTTCTGCCACTAATTGGTTATGAGGAGGCCCAGAGCAGGTAAATTCACCTTCCTGGCCTTACAATTTCCTGGTGTGTAATACAGAGTTAATTCATGGTAGCATGACAGTATAAGACACCAGCAGTAGATACAACTATGATGACATTCCATGAGGTGGTATTTTTAGTTCTAACTACTAAATTTGTCCTCTTTATGGGACAGATTTCTAATAAAGTGCTTGGTCTTAACATACATGGTTGGACAGAGGTGCCCTATCCCTTAACTATGAGCAGGTGCTACCTTTTGGGATATTTATTTGAAATTTTAATACTTTGGTACTCAATTGTCAATGTTCCATGGTGTGTATTTTTATTTTTGGGATTAGTGGGGGCCTAAAGGGAGGGGAATAGTCTATAATTACTACCTCTTAACCTAAAACAATTATTTTGTTCCTGGAGCAAGTTAAAGCTTTGTTAGAAGGAGCTTTGGCCATATATTTTTTAGCATGCATTGTTTCTGTGCTCTGAAAGTACTGATTTTAAGCACGGATTCAGGAAGATGGGCCAATAGAACAGGTCATCTCCAGGAAATTGGCTCTATTTGGTTCCTGACCTTCCCTTCCTCCCATGGTAGCAAGGAATACACATCTTGCATTTTTTTTTTTTGCCATGTTAATCTTTTCTTGGTCATGTATAAGCAATAAAGCTGTTTTTTGTTCTTCATCTTTCTCAACCCCAAATTTTCTATGCCTTAGGCTTTGATGCTTCTTCCAACCCCCTTAATATGGCCTAGGGTGGCTTTTCAAAACCTACAATCCCCCATTTGCACTGCTGGCCATGGAGCATTTATTTCTAGTATTCCTGCCAATCAGAGATCTCTATATTCTAAAATGGGATTAAAAGAATAGTTGGAGAATTCACATTATTGAATAACTGATGTGATATAGCCTGGAATTTCTGAATTCCAAATAAATAAATTTCACTCTTTGAACATTTCATCTTTTACTTTTTAGCACCAGCAGACTTGATAACAGCCAACCTTCCCCTACTGGCCCTTCAGTCTGCTTAATAACAAGTCCTTTGCTTCTGTCATTCTCCTGGGGGATAGCCTACTGCCCTCCTTTCTGTACAATCTGGGCAAACCGACTGGTGATGGCAAGAGTGGTGTCAATGAAGCGGTCTACACAGCTGGAGAGACAGTTTTCAGTTCGAGAATCTAGGCGATTCCCTGGCTTCTCCACACACTTATCCCAACATAGTTCCATGAAATGATGCACCTAAGAGGAAAGAAAAATAGTAACCACTGGGTCTGCAGATAGGCCTCACTCTGTTTAACTTACCACTTTTTCACGTCTGACAAACTATTCTTTAAATGAACCACGGAGCCACTTTGGGCTCTTCTCTTTCTTCATTTTCTAAGTAGTCACCAATATTGATGCAGATCCTCATCCCTACAGATTCTACATTCTCTAATAACCTTTTATATTCCCCAAAGCAGCGTGAACAAACTAGGGGACCAATTCATTTCCCCGGACTATTGGATTCATCTCATTCCAAACCTATCCCCTAGAGAAGGTAATTCTTCCACTAAACCTTCTGGGGGTTATGGATCCACTTCCCCCAAGAATGCACATACTGGCACAGAAATTACGTGCACTTTCATTAGAATGTTCAGGACCCAAAGATTTCTAGCCAGGGTTCTTGCTGCTTATCCTCCGAGCACCCTCCGCCTCCCACCCAAAAGGGAGAAAATAGCCATTTTATCAAGAGCTTACTATATGTGAGGCTGGGTACTAAGAAGTCAGTTCTCTCTAACGTCCTCAAGGATAGCTGTCATCACCTCCCATTTAAGAGGCGTGATTATGTAGTCCAAGGTCATGGAGCCAGGCCGGGTCAAAACCATGCCCGAAGGGCTCCAAACCCTTATTCTAAATCCATAGTCTACAGCGACTACTTCAGAGTCCACCTTTCTCCAATAATGTTCTAGTGCTCCATTGTTTTCCAATACATCACCGCATATGATCCTCACAATCCAGTGAGGCAGTGGGGTGACGGTGAAACCAAAGCCCACAGTAGATGGGTTATCTTTTCTACGGGCACGTGGCCTGCAAGGAGCACAGGGAGGAACAGAACCCAGATCTTCCAAATGCCACTAGTCATGTCGCCGGCTAACTAGGCTCCCGTACCCTTGCGTCGCCCAAATTTTCTTCCCTGCTTTACACCTCTTTTCTCCACGCTGTGCTTACGTAGCCGGCACCCGAGCACTACCGGTCACCAGGGGCAGGAGGGCCACGATTTGTCTTTTGTGAGACGAGCGGGATGCAGCCGGGATCGAGAACCACGTTGCTTCACTGAGCCGCCAGTGTACAGACCTCCGAGCGTGCCTAGGACCAGTATTTCACCTTCCTTTCCCTTCACCCTCCCCGTCCCCGCACCTGTGCAGTAAACTGCGCCTTCTGCTGTTCCGCAGCCACCAAGCGTTGCAATTCCGCTTCATCGGCTTCACCCAGCTCCGCCATTGTCCGCCTCAGCCTCCGCACCTTCCGGCAACCGTGTTTGCGCATGCGCGACGGGTGTACCCGCCTCTCGACTTCCGGTTCACCCAGCATTTTCCTCCTCCCTGTTTTCTTTCGTCGTCGTGAGTGGGAGTTGTCGCCTAATTGCTTCCGGGTTGGTGAATGACCTTGAGCCCTCAGGAACGAGATGGCGGTTCTCTGGAGACTGAGTGCTCTTTGCTGTGCCCAAGGAGGCCGAGGTGAGGGTTCTTCGCACCCTGAGGGGCTTAGCGCAGCTTCCAGCCGGGGAAGGGGATGGAGGTGAGGACTCATATGCCAGGTGGGAGATCTCTTGAGAAGAGAATCCCGAAATCCCAAAAATGACTGCTGTAGTCTAGAGGTCCAGATGTTTACCCCAACGTGTGTTTCACTTGCTGTGAGCTAACGACTTGACGGAATCATCAGAAAGAGCTCCCTCTGGAAGTTGCAGTCTGATGAGACTAATCCACATAGGAGTTTTCTGTTTTCTCCCCGTTCACTGTCCCTAGAATGCTCCCCACTCGCAGAGGGTCAGGATCTTGCGCATTTCTCCAGGAGTTGGTGTTTTTGTGTGTGGAATGGAGGGGGATCCGTTCGAAAATCATTTAACCTGGGCATTTGTGTTGCCGCAGGCACTGTAGTAATGCTAGGATACAAATGTGAAGAAAACGTAGTTCCTGTCTTCAAAGAGCTTTCTGACGAGGAAAACACTGTCATAGTAGTCCAGGCAAGATGAGGTCCTGAACTAGGAAAGTAGCACAAAGAAAAGAAGATTGTCTCAAGAAATGTTAAAGAGATATGCCAATAGGGTTTGGCAAATGAATTTAGGGGAAAAGTCTCTCATGACTTCCAGATTACTGAGTTAGGTTAAAGAATGCCTGAAATGTCATTAAATAAAGTAGGGAACATACAGATGTTCATTCCCTAGTCTAAGTTCACAGTAACTCCAGTGAAATAGATGCTATCTTCATTTTACAAATGAGGTGTTATTCCCCATTTAGGGTTAAGTAGCTTGCCTGTGGTCATTTAGAAAGTTTGTCAGTCCTGTTAAAGGAGAGGTTCTTATGATAATCCTAATGACTCTTTCCTCAGCTCTGTTGCTGCGAACTTCAGTGGTCAGACCTGCTCATATTTCAGCATTTCTTCAGAACCAACCTACCCCAGAATGGTGTGGAATGCAGCACATTCACTTGTCACCGAGTCACCATTGTATGTTCTCTCCATTGCCGCTGCTTTCTGGGCTCTAGCCATCTTTACATGGACTAATTGTCATGCATTTAGCAAGACTTCCTAAATGTAGGGGGACTCTTGTGTCCAACGCTGTCAAATAAAGACCCTGTTTACACCTTTGGGCAGACAGTGCCATTATGGTTGAATGATTGCCATTTATAATCATAGAGGGCCTTCTAGCCTAAGTCTTTTTAAAAAAAAATTTTTTTTTTTTTGAGAGGAGTCTCACTCTGTCACCCAGGCTAGAGTGCAGTGGTGCGATCTCGGCTCCCTGCAATCTCCACCTCCCAGGTTCAAGCAGTTCTCCTGCCTCAGCCTCCTGAGTAGCTGGCATTACAGGCACCCACCACCATGTTAATTTTTGTATTTTTAGTAGAGATGGCGTTTTACCATGGTGGCCAGGCTGGTCTTGAACTCCTGACCTCAGATAATCCGTCCACCTTGGCCTCCCAAAGTGCTAGGATTACAGGCATGAGCCACTGTTCCTGGCCCACTGACTCACTGACTACATTCATAAAGTATCTGTCCACTTCACTGAACCAAGACTGGCTTAATTCTTTTTTTTTCTTTTTGAGAAGGAATCTCACTCTGTCACCCAGGCTGGAGTACAGCAGTGTGATCTTGGCTCACTACAACCTCCGCTTCCTGGGTTCAAGCAGTTCTCCTGCCCCAGCCTCCTGAGTAGCTGGGATTACAGGCATGCGCCACCACACCTGGCTAATTTTTGTATTTTTAGTAGAGACAGGATTTCACCATGTTGGTCAGACTGGTCTCGAACTCCTGACCTCATGATCTGCCCACTTCGGCCTCCCAAAGTGCTGGGATTACAAGCGTGAGCCACCATGCCTAGCTGACTGGCTTAATTCTGTAGCAATATTTTATCCATCTTCTTGGATCTGTCTTCTAATCAATATGTAGGCATTAAGATACCCTTGTGCTAAAAGACTTCAAAAAACAGAGATAGCCTCTCTCTCAACTACTATTTTAATATTTTACTTTCTTTGTATTCAGAGTTATATTCTATATGTATACTGTCTGTCAGTTTGGGTTACTGCGTGGATATGTTGAACATGAAAGATGTGTGTTTCCCATGTCAACTTTTATGAATCTGGTCCTTTTTTGTAGCTGGTTCCAAGGCTGCATCTCTCCACTGGACTAGTGAGAGGGTTGTCAGTGTTTTGCTTCTGGGTCTGCTTCCAGCTGCTTATTTGAATCCTTGCTCTGCGATGGACTATTCTCTGGCTGCAACTCTCACTCTTCATGGTCACTGGCAAGTATAGCATTTTCAAGTATAGCTGTCTGCTTAGTCTGTTTACTGTGAGCTTGTCTCATGTATTATATATGAGGGAGAAGTTGATTGAAATGCTCTAAATTTGTTGAAAACTTTAAAATATATATAAAATATTTATATGCCTGGAATTATATATTCATCTGCCTGTTCGATGTCTTTCAATTCCATTTCCATGTCAAATAGCATTTTGAATGTAGCCTGTCAAACTGAGTTTCTGATCTCCCTCAATCTGTTCCTCCTGTACTCTTGCCCATCTGAATTAATGGCATTTCCAATTTTCTCTTCGTTCAAGTCTAAACCTGGTAAGCTCCAAACTTGGTCATTATCCTTGACTCTAGTAGTCGTCTCCTGACTGGTCCCCTTAGTGTCCATTCCCAACACAGTAGACCCAGTGATCCTGTTAAAATGGTAAATTAGAACAAGACTTTCCCCTCTCAAAACCCTTTTTTGTCTCTTTATGTTACTCAAAGTCAGAATTCTTAGTCTGCAGACTCTACATGATTGAGCCCCCCGTTTCTTCCCTTATTTTTAGCTGCATTCTTCCTCATTCACACTGGCTTCCTTGAGATTCCTTGAACATGCCAGGGACATTCCAAGTCTCAGGGCTTTCCTCTTGCTGATTCTGCCTGAAACTTTTTCTAGCTATATACTTGTCTTGTTCCTTCATCTCCTTCAAGTCTTGAATGTCATTCTCTCAAAAAAGCCTTCCCTAACCACTTACTCAAAATTGCAGTTTCTGTCCTGCCATTCCTTCTAATTTATACTACATCATCTGTTGATTATTTTGTATAGTAATTGCTTCCTTGCATTTTGTTTTATTACCCAAATGTGTATCGCTAAATAATATAGCCTTGCCTCTTAAAGAGATACATACATGGGAGGGATATTTTGTTATTTTTACTGTGTTTGTTCGCTGTTGTGCCTCTAGGGCCTAGAACTAGTCTCTAGTACCTGACACATAGCACTCAGTAAATACTTGCTGAATGAATGAGTATCCAGCATCTGTTTATTTATTTATTTATTGAGACATGGTCTCCTTTGTTGCCCAGGCTGCAGTGCAGTGGCATGATCTTGGCTCCCTGGAACCTCTATCTCCCAGGTTCAAGCGATCCTCCTGCCTCAGCCTCCTGAATAGCTGGGATTACAGCATGTGCCACCATGCCCAGCTAATTTTTGTATTTTTAGTAGAGACGGGGCTTCACCATGTTTTCCAGGCTGGTCTCAAATTCCTGACCTCAAGTAATCCACCCACTTCAACCTCCTCAAGTGCTGGGATTACAGCCTGAGCCACCATGTCTGGCCCAGCTTTTGTTTATTTTATCTGATATAGTTGGTATGACTTACTACGTGAATGAACCTTCTAAAAGGAGGGTAGATGACCAGTTGGGTTCCTTGAGTTACTGCTTTTAAGTTTTGCAGGGACGGTGTGTTGTCATTGCGGGGAGTAGGGCAGCGCTTTTGGATTGTTGAAACTGGACGTACTTTGGAGAGCATCTTAACCAACTCTTATATTTTACAAATGTGGAAACTACAACCCAGGGAGGTTAAGTGACTTGTCAGAATCATTTTCTAGCTTGTGTTAAATGTGTTTTTTTTTTTGTTTTGTTTTCTTTAGATGGAGTCTCACTCTCACCCAGGCTGGAGTGTAGTGGTGTGATCTTGGCTCACTGCCACCCCTGCCTCCTGGGTTCAAGCAATTCTCATGCCTCAGCTTCCTGAGTAGCTGGGATTACCGGCACGCGCCAGCACACCTGGCTAATTTTTATATTTTTAGTAGAGGTTTTACTATGTTGGCCAGGCTGGTCTTGGACTTGTGACCTCAAGTGATCCACCTACATTGGTCTCCCAAAGTGCTGGGATTACAGATTACAGGCGTGAGCCACTGCACCCAGCCTAAAGGGGTTTTAATTACCTAGTTCTGTAGGTCTGGTTAGGAAAATTGTTTTTTTTTTTATTGCATTTTAGGTTTTGGGGTACATGTGAGGAACATGCAAGATTGTTGCATAGGTACACACATGGCAGTGTGGAGTTTTTTTTTTTTTTTTAAACACATAGACCTTTCCAGATAAAAGACTGTAGTTGCATATGAAATATTAGATCACAAGTACAGTAGGTAATATTTCTCTAACATGTGATCCATCTTGAAGGAGCTGCCTGTAATTGTGCTCCACTTCCTCAACACTCAGTGTTAACTGGGGTCCCATCCCAACTATATAACTTAGGTCAGTCTTACAAAGGGCACCAAAGGTGTTCATCTTTCCAAATCCGGTTGTCTATTCTCTGTCCTTCATTTGCTTGAAGTCTCAGTAGCCTTCAACTCAATTAACAATTCTCCCCCTAAGTCATTTTTCTTTGGCTTTCCAGATGCATAGAAGTCTCCTCTGCCAGATCCTTCTCCTCTTGTTTGACCTTAGGATGACAAAATCTCCAGGGCTGAGTCATGGCCTTCTTAATTTCTCCATCTTATACCCTTTTTCTAGGTGAGCTCAGATTTGTTTTTCTGAGTTGCAGACTTGTTTATCTAGTTGTCTAAGTGACATCCACTTGGATGTCTGGTAGTTCTCCCAGATTTAATATTCGCCAAATCACTCTTTTTTCCCCTAAAATCACCCTTGATTTCTCTTTTAAAACCCCCTTCTCAGTTAAAGCTGGGCTCAAGCTAAAATTCTTAGGAGTCATTCTAGATATTTCTTTTTGTTCTTACTCTGCATCTATTCTATCAGCTCTGTTAGTTCTTTCTTTAGAAAACAATCTGAATTGGCTGGGAGAAGTGGCTCACACCTATAATCCCAGAACTTTGGGAGGCCAGTGTGGGTAGATCACAAGGTCAGGAGTTCAAGACCAGACTGGCCAATATCATGAGACTTCGTCTCTACTAATAATACAAAAATTAGCCAGGTGTGGTGGCACGTGCCTGTAGTCCCAGCTACTTGGGAGACTGAGGCAGAAGAATCGCTTGAATCTGGGAGGTGGAGGTTGCAGTGAGCCAAGATCACACTATTGCACTCCAGCCTGGGTGACAGAGGAATACTCTGTTTCAAAAAGAAAGAAAGAAAAAATCTGAATCGGGGATGGGGTGGGGGAAGAGAAAGGAGAGCATTAGGACAAATACCTAATGCATGTAGAGCTTAACACAGAGATGACAGGTTGATAGATGCAGCAAACCACAATGGCACTTGTATACCTTTGTAACAGACCTGCATGTTCAGCACATGTATCCCAGAAGTTAAAGAAGAAAAAAAATATATATTATTAAAAAACAGTAGTTTGAATTGTCACTTTACACCCTGTCGCCAGCCTAGGTTAAGCCAACAGTCTCACCCAGGCTACTTCAGTTGCCTTCTAACTAGTTTCCGGTTTCAATTGTTGCTCTGGTCCCCGCCCCCCATACTGTTCATTCACCACGCTACAGCCATAGTGACCTTTTTAAAATGTAAAATTATATTTCTCCAAAGTAGATATACAAATAGCCAATAAGCACATGAGATATTGTGCAGCCTCATTTGTCATTCGAGAAATGCAAATCAAAACCACAGTGAGACACCACCTCATACCCCATTAGGATGGCTGTAATGAATGATGGACGGTTAGAAGTGCTGCTGAGAACTTGGAGAAATTGGAACCCTTGTGGTTCTGTTAGGAATGTAAAACGTTTCATCACTTTGGAAAACAGTCTGGCAGTTACAACAAAAAGTTAACCTTAGAGTTAGCATGCCATTCAGCGATCTGCTTTTAGGTGTATACCCAGGAGAATTGAAAACGTGACCACACAAGAAACTTGTACGGGAATGATCATAGCATTTTTTTTTTTTTTGAGAGAGTTTCACTCTTTCTGCCCAGGCTGGAGTGCAATGGCACAATCAAAGCTCACTGCAACCTCCGCCTCCCAGGCCCAAGCGACTCAGTCTCCTGAGTAGCTGGGATTATAGGTGTGTGCCATTACCCCTGGCTAATTTTGTATTTTTAGCAGAGACGGGGTTTCACCATGTTGGCCAAGCTGGTTTTGAACTCCCAACCTTAGATGATCCTGCCTCAGCCTTCCAAAGCACTGGGATTACAGGCGTGAGCCACCATGCCTGGCCCAGCAGCATTACTTATAATAACCAAAGAATGGAAACAATCCAAATGTCTTTCAGCGTATGAATAGCTAAACAAATTATGGTGTATTCATGTAATAAAATGTCATTCAGCTATTCAAAGGAATGCTCTATTGATATATGCTATGACATGGATAAACACTGAAAACATTATGATAAGTTGACACAAAGGCCATATATTGTGTGACTTCTTTTATATGAAATGTCCTGAATAGGCAAATCCGTAGAGACAGAAAGTAAATTTGTAGTTAGGTAGTGGGGTAATAGGTAGAGCATTTCTTTTTGGGGTAATGAGAATGTTCTGGAATTAAATAATGATGATTGTACAACTCAGTATACTAAAACCCACTGGATTGTATACTAAACAAAAATAGCAAAATTAGGTCACACCTTACCTAGGGCACTCCCTGCTTAAAACCTATCAGTGGTTTCCTATTATATTTCATTAAAATTCAGATTCCTTATCATGACCTTCAAGATCCTATGCAACCGGCCTCTACCTTCCTCTGATCTCTGCTTCAACTGTGTGCTCCAGCCATCTTACATTCATTAGAGATGCCACTTTTGTTTGGAAGTTCTCACTCATTCACGTCTTCCTTTCTAAATTGTTTCTTCATAGTACAGATATATTTACTTTTTCTTTCTCATTCACTAGTTTATTTGTTCCATAAAGGCAGGGATGCTCTCTCACTTACTATACCCCCAACATTTATGACAGATTCTGGTGCATAATAGCTACTTAATAAATTCTTTTTGAATCAACTAAAAATGCTGTAGGGTTTTAGTTATTTTTAGTTATTGAGGCGAGAGGATCACTTGCAGCCAACAGTTCAAGACCAGCCTGGGCATCATAGTGAGACTGCATCTCTAAAGAAGTGAAAAACAGGCCAGGTGTGGCTGATGCCTGTAATCCCAACACTTTGGGAGGCTGAGGTGGGTGGATCACCTGAGGTCAGGAGTTCAAGACCAGGCTGGCCACCATGGTGAGACTCCGTCTCTACTAAAAATACAAAAATTAGCTGGGCATGGTGGCAGGTGCCTATAATCCCAGCTACTTAGGAGGCTGAGGCAGGAGAATTGCTTGAACCCGGGAAGCAGAGGTTGCAGTGAGCCAAGATCACGCCACTGCACTCTAGCCTGGATGACAGAGCGAGACTCTTGTCTCAAAAAAAGAAAGAAAAAACAATTAGCCGGGCATGGAGGCATGCTCCCGTAGTCCCAGCTACTTGGGAGGCTGAGGTGAGAGGATCACTTGAGCTCAGGAGTTTGAGGTTGCAGTGTGGGCAACAGAGTAAGACCTTGTCTCTAAAAAAAAAAAGTCACTAGAAATCAACTGACTGACAAAAAAAAAAAAAAAGAAGGCTGTACAGAATCCCCTAAAGAAGCAAACAGTGCTGTGGAGTGGCAGATGAAGACACGGCATTTGAATTTGAACTTGACAGATTATGTTTTTTGAAGCCAAGTTATCTGTATAGTCTTCTGATTTCACTGTGGTTTTTCATTGATGTTACATGTTTTCTTTTTCTTTAGGGGCCTTGGACAAGTTGTTACTGACTATGTTCATGGGGATGCCTCGCAGAAAGCTGCCAAGGCAGGGCTTTTGGCCCTTTCAGCTTTAACCTTTGCTGGGCTTTGCTATTTCAACTATCACGATGTGGGCATCTGCAAAGCTGTTGCCATGCTGTGGAAGCTCTGACCTTTTTGACTTCATACTTTGAAGAGTTGATGTATGCCTCTTTGCCTCTGCTTTGTCATGTCATTCAGCTCACAGTAAGGAGTAAATAACAGATAAGTCTATTGGTGGACAGACTTCTTCTCTTAATCTTTGAGGAAAGGGTTTGAGAGGAATTATGTCTCAGACATTGTGAGACTGAGTTCTGTATTCTGATGAGTAAATGGGGTTGCCTCCCAGCTTCTCATAAGACTCACAGTATAACTAAACATGATATATGAGCTTTTGCCTTTTAATTTATCAATCTCTTAAAGAGAATCCAGCTTTATTACTATTAATATATGATCAAACTTCTTTTTTGCCTTGGAAATAATGGACAAAGGGAAATACCGTTAATTCATGAATAAAAACTTTGCAGAAAATTAGACAGTGTTTAATTTTTGAAAACCTCCCTCTCTATTCAGTAGATACCACCTACTGATGGATACCTATACTAGGAAAATTTTTAAATTTGGAAATGCTGGTATCTCACATTATAAATTTCTAAATCCTAGGAAGAAAAGTTTGTAGTGCTTCTGAATATAGAGAAGTTCCATTTAAGGGCAAAGTTCCCCTTATAGACATATCAAAATATCACAGATTCTAAACTGAGAGTTAATTCTCAAATGTGTTCTACTTGTTCTAAAACAATCTGTCCACAAATATGAAACTCTTAAGTAATAAATTGTTATTTTCACACTATGGGAATCTCTACTGTGAAAATGTATTCTATGAAAATAATTTTTAAAAAAATAAAATGTATAATAAAAATGTATTCTATGCTTTTATATATTAGTTGTCACTAGTTTTATTCATTAGAATTAGGTGTCTGTTGCATCCACAGCATTAAAACAAAACTGAGTGTTTAAATTTCCTTCTGGGGCTTAGCAGTCAGGTAAATCAGACACAAAGAACTGGGAAACAAAAGGACTTATAAGTTATAGGCAGAAATATACCAAGTATAAATAGTTTGGTATAAATAGAGTATAAGATTTAGTAGTAGGAATAAGAATTATGTCCAGATTACGGTGTTCTGTGAATAGCAGCCTTTGGAATTCAAATTATGTTCTGTGTGTATTCAGTCTGGTCTAAGAGTTGAGTGTAAGGCACAATGCTTTCTTCTAACAATATAGAGTAACTGGGACTTAGCACATTTCACTCACCAAGGACCTTACTGGGAAGCTGAGGCAAACGAAGAGTATGTGTTCATGAATGTGTACTAAGAGTGAAAGACGTGGTCCCCTTAATGCACGTGTGGTCTTGTCGGAGACTCAAGTGTGCATTAAGGGTTTAGGAAGAGGCGATTAATTCTGTTTTGGGGTGGGTAAAAGGTTTCAAAAGGCAGTGATGCCCGAACAGCCGTGGCACACCAACAGATAGTGGTGGTGGGGCCAGTCCATCCTGATGGGAGAAAATATATAAATATTATTCTGACATTGTTTAGAATTACTGGTGCTTGATGATGATAAAAAGCAAATTGACTGAAAGTCAATTGTATTGTTTAAAATTCTCTGTTGACAGTGGATCCCCTTCCCACCTGTGTCATTACTTCCCTCCCCTAGCTCTCAGTTTGCCACTGCTACAGAGTGGAGTGATGAAATGGAGTCTTCCATGAAGCCAAAATGGGGATGGCAGTGGCTCTGCTGCCATCCTGTAGCTATCTCCAATACCATCAGATCTAATACCTTCAGATCCTAGATATAGAAGGCTGTCTAGTGCTAATAAGCTTCATTAGATGGTGAACAGAGAAGTTTGAGTGGAGGCTGGTTGGGTACCGCCTGCCCCAAGTCCCAGGTGGTTTGGTCATTAGGGTGGAGCTGAGCTGTCTTTGGGAAATCAGTAGGTTGCTATGAGCTGCTGGAAAATGAGGCAAGATTCAGGAAGGGTGCTGTGGCTCATACCTGTAATATCAGCATTTTGGGAGGCTAAGGCAGTAGGATTGCTTGAGGCCAGGAGTTTAAAACCAGCATGGGCAAGATAGCAAGACCCTGTCTCTACAAAAATACAATCAAACAGAAAGATTAGCCAGGCATCATTAGCAGTGGCATGTGCCTGTAGTTCTAGCTTCTTGGGAGGCTCAGGTGGGAGAACTGTTTGAACCCAGGAGTTTGAGGTTACAATGAGCTATGATCACACTACTGCATTCCAGCTTAGGTGACAGAGTGAGACCTTGTCTCTTTAAAAAAGAAAAAAAAGGCCGTGCGAGGTGGCTCACGCCTGTAATCCCAGCACTTTGGGAGGCCAAGGCGGGTGGATCACGAGGTCAAGAGATCGAGACCATCCTGGTCAACGTGGTGAAACCCCGTCACTACTAAAAATACAAAAAATTAGCTGGGCATGGTGGCACATGCCTGTAATCCCAGCTACTCGGGAGCCTGAGGCAGGAGAATTGCCTGAACTCAGGAGGTGGAGGTTGCGGTGAGCTGAGATCGCGCCATTGCACTCCAGTCTGGGTAACAACAGCGAAAACTCGAAAACTCCGTCTCAAAACAAAAGAATGACGCTCTCACTTTAGACACATTAGACAAAGTGGTGGCCTTCAATAATGACCTTCAATAGTGGGGATTCTGTTTTTTGTGTTCACATTCTTTTCTTTTGAAAGACTCCAAAGCTTGAATTTTAATGCAGGGTGCTTGGTCTCCATGTGGTGAAGCAGTTTTGAAGGTCTCATGGCTTTGTGGGATGGTTTGTGACCACATATTATACAAAGTGGGCTTGGAGAATATGAATCACCTCTTGCAATGAACCCATAATTTAAGTAGGACTCCTGGTATTTTCTTTTAAATGCAGTTTTCTTTTTGCTGGCAGTGTTAGAGTCTTCTGCTGCCTCCTCATTGGGTCTTTCCCCATTCTCAAAGAAGCTCTCCATTGACATTTGTTTTTCACTCATTTTGGCCAGGGTTAGCCTGTAGGCTTACCAAAACTGTGACTGATACAAGTGCACAGTGCTCCTGCTTCAGCCTCCCAGGTTGAGATTACAGGCACCTGCCACCATGCCTGACTAATTTTTGTATTTTGAGTAGAGACAGGGTTTCACCATGTTGGCCTGGTCTTGGAACTCCTGACCTCAAGTGATCCACCCACCTCAGCCTCCCAAACTGCTGGGATTACAAGTGTGAGCTACGGTGCCCGGCCTTGATTTGCATCTTTTTCTGATGATCACTAATGTTGAACATCTTTTCATATGCCTGTTTGCTACTTGTATGTCTTCTTTTGAGAAATGTTTCTTCAAATTTTTTGCCTGTTTTAAAATCAATTATTCGATTTTTTTCCTTTAGAGTGGTTTGAACTCCTTTACGTATTCTGGTTATTAATGTCTTGTCATACGGGGGGTAGCTTGCAAATATTTTCTTTCATTCTGTAGGTTGTCTTTTCCCTTTGTTAATTGTTTCTTTTGCTGTGCAGAAGCTTTTTAGTTTGTAATAATCTCATTTGTTTATTTTTGCTTTTGTTACCTATGCTTTTGAAGTCTTATTCTTAATATCTTTTCCCAGACCAATGTCCTAAAGCATTTCCCCTATGTTTTCTTTTAGTAATTTTGTTGTTTTGTGTCTGACATTTAGGTCTTTGATCAATTTTGCGTCAATTTTTGTATAGGGTGAGAGGCGGGGTGGAGTGTCTAGTTTCATTTTTCTGCATATGGATGTCCAGTTTTCCCAGCACCATTGATTGAAGTGGCTGTGCTTTCCCCAGTGAGTATTCTTGGTGCCTTTGTTAAAAATCAGCTGGTTTTAGAGATGCGTATTAATTTCTGGATGCTCTATTCTGTTCTATTGGTCTATGTGTCAGTTTTTTTCTGTTTTGGTTGCTACAGCTTTGTAGTGTATTTTGTGATGCCTCCAGCCTTGTTCTTTTTGCCCAGGATTGCTTTGGCTATTTGTGTTCTTTTGTGGTTCCATACAAATTTTAATATTTTTTAAAAATTCCTATCAAAATACCAATGCTGTGAGAGTAGGGATTGCATTGACTCTGTAGACTACTTTGGCTTGTAAGGTCATCTTAAAAATATTAATTCTGCTGATCCATGAGCATGGAAGCTCTTTCCATTCGTTTGGATTCTTTTATTCATCAATCTTTTGTAGTTTTCCTTGTAGAAGGTTTTCACCTCTTTGGTGAAATCTATTCCTGGGTATTTAATTTTTTTGGTAGCTATTGTAGATTGGATTGCCTTCTTGATTTCTTTTTCAGCTAGCTCATTGCTTGTGTATAGAAATGCTACTGAGTTTTGTGTGTTGATTATGTATCTTACATATTAACTGAATTTATCAGTTCTACGAGTTTTTTGGTGGAGTCTAAGTTTTTCTATATATAAGATCATGTTATCTGCATACACAGACAGTTTGGCAATTTGGCTTCCTCCTTTCCAATTTGAACATTCTTTTTTTTTTATTAGATGGAGTCTTGCTCTGTCTCCAGGCTGGAGTGCAGTGGCACCATCTTGGCTCACTGCTACCTCCACCTCCTGGGTTCAAGTAGCTGGGACTACAGGCGTGTGCCACCATGCCCAGCTAATTTTTGTATTTTTAGTAGAGAAGGGGTTTCACTATGTTGGACAGGATGGTCTTGATCTCTTGACCTTGTGATCTGCTCGCTTCTGCCTCCCAGAGTGCTGGGATGACAGGTGTGAGTCACCTTGCCCGGCCTTAAACATTCTTTATTACTTTGTCTTGCCTAATTGTTCTGGCTAAATATGTATATAATTTTGGAAAGCGTTGCCATCTTTACTACATTTATTGATTTATTTTAGACGGAGTCTCGCTCTGTCACCCAGGCTGGAGTGCAGTGGTGTGATCTTGGCTTACTGCAACCTCCACCTCCCAGTTTCAAGCTCTACTCCTGCCTCAGCCTCCCAAGTAGCTGGGATTACAGGCATGTGCCATCATACCTGGCTAATTTTCCTATCTTTAGTAGAGACAGGATTTCACCATGTTGGCCGGGTTGATCTTGAACTCCTAACCTCAGGTGATCCACCCACCTAGGCCTCCCAAAGTGCTGGGATTACAGGCATGGGCCATTGTGCCCAGCCTACATTTGGTCTTCTTGATCAAGAGAATTTATCTGTTTTAGGGTTTTTTTATTTTTGTGTGTAAATAGTTTTATTTTTCTCTGAGTGGCTCCTTCACAACTAAATTAGGTTATTCCCAATTAGGTTATTTCTATTATAAATGGGATTTTAAAAATTATGCTTTCTAACTCACATCAGTTATATATTGAAGTTTTTTTGAATTATTTTTATGGTTGTATGTAATATTTTGCAATGTTGCAGAATTTACTTACTTGCTGATTAATCTTTGGTTTCAAAGAATTTTATTATATACAAGCCAGGTATGGTAGCTCATGCTTGTAATCCAAGCACTTTAAGAGGATTACTTGAGCCTAGGAGTTTGAGACCAGCCTGGACAAGATAGCAAGACCCCATCTCTTAGAATTTGTTTTTTTAATTAGCTGGGCATGGTGATACATGCATGTGGTCCTAGCTACTCAGGGGGCTAAGGCAGGAGGATTACTTGAGGCCTGAAGTTTGAGTCTATGGTGAGCTATGATCACACTACTTCACTTCAGCCTGGCCAACAGAGTGAGACCTTGTCAAACAAAACAAAATTTTGTTACATACAAATAAGCACATGAAAAGATATTCAAAATCACCAATCATTAGGTAAACACAAATTGAGACTACAAACAAGATGCCACCTCACACCCATTAGGAAGGACATATTAAAAAAAATTAAAAACCGGCTGGGTGTGGTGGCTCACCCCTGTAATCCTAGCACTTTGGGAGGCCAAGGTG